TCAAAACTCAAGCAACGTTGAACAAAATTGTGGGTACTATCACTTTGCCAAATTCTGAGAATGAAGGAATCGCAAAGGACTGCATGGTCATGGGTTGGGGCTGGAAGAAATACCACGACGAGTCTCCATCAAATGTGCTCCAAGAAGCAAACGTGACTCTGATAGACTCTGAAAACTGTGGCACGGCTGACACTCTGTGCACTGAGTGGGGGCCGGAAGCAATACGATCACGAGTCTCCTTCAAATGTGCTCAAAGAAGCAAACGTGACTCTGATAGACTCTGAAAACTGTGGCACGGCTGACACTCTGTGCACTGAGGGATCAACTGGACCAGCACAGGTATTTCAAGTGCCACCACTCACAAATTCTTATCTGAAGTATATCAGTGTCATTGCAGCCTGGTATACTAATAAACAAATGATATAATCCACAGGGAGACTCTGGGGGTCCACTTGTTTGTGGAGGTGTTGCACAGGGAATTATGTATTTTTCCAAAAACAAGGGGAATGCAGACCACTTCACAGCATACACTCATATTTCCCACTACATTCCATGGATTCAGAGCATCATGCCGCTTGACATGCCAGAAATGTTAGATCAAGTCTCCCGGCCAGGATTATTAGATCCAACCCCTGGACATTTGACCCCAAAACCTGATAAACACCAAGTCTTGTCTGGTACCCAAAATCAGTGCATTGTTACTTCATTTTGTCTAGAACCCTAAACTGTATTAAATCATCTATCAGCCCAAAAAATTGACTAAGGAAGCCAGTGAGGGGCAGAAAGCAGGAGTCAAAGTACAGATAATAATAATAATAAAAATGAACAGTCTTTATTGAATAATCTTAGCTTCATGTTTCAATGCACAGACTTATGCTCATAATATGCTGTTGAATAGTTTCATAGAACTAAACTCTTTTTTTGTTTCTCCATGCATGATGGCATCGTTGGCGGTAAAGTCTCCGTTCCCCACAGTCGACCCTACATGGTCTACATTCGTGATAAGATATCAAAATTAGCATGTGGTGTTTTTTTGGTAAGAGAGGATTATGTGATGACAGCTGCCCACTGTAAACAAAGGTAGGTGAAATTATCATATTTTATACTTTTATCAGAAAGAGTAAACAGTTTGGTGTTGGTTCAGTTCAGTTTAATAAGTGTAAATTTCATCGATCTTGAAACAAATTCAATTCCGCTATAAGCAATTCTACAGAAAACAAGTCATTATTCAGCTTAATTCAGTTCAAATTTTGTTCTCATTAAATGGTATCAGTGCAGTCATATTGATATTACTGAATATCAAATCTTTCAGACATTCAATTGCAGTCACACCACTTTGCTCCCCTCTGGTGTACGATCGCTTAACTTTTCTGGATATTCAGTCGGCGTTGTCTGATTGTCTGTTTCGCGATACCAGAGAAGACTGCCTTCCTTATACACTGCCTGTGCCAGTTGCGCTGAGGAAGGTTTGTTACCTGCCTGGATGCTTTTGCCTGTGGAGGAAACGTCGAAGGAAGCGTGGGAAGCGCGCTGGAGGCCTCGTGAGATCAAAGAAGATCAGGAGGTTTCCATTTATCGGACCACCGTCCTCCGTGGCAGAGGTCGAGGAGGTGAACCTGAGATGTTCATATCTTGTGCCTGTCTTCCCGCCCCCGGTGTCGATGTCCCGGTCCTCGCGGATGGTTCGCGCCAGGCGGCCGCTCGTGGAGTTAACCACTTAAACCTTCGCTCCTTATGTGACGGGAATCCGGTAAACTTTTTCGTTCAATCTTCCCTATCTTCTTCTGACACCACTCCAGTGACAATGGCGTTGATAAACGCGAGATCTCTGGCAAATAAGACTTTTATTCTGAACGATCTCTTTGCCTCTCATGAACTTGATTTTTTTATTTGTTACTGAGACTTGGCTTAACGCTGGCGACACGTCTTCACTCTCTTCTGCTGGTTGCAGTTTTTTCAGTACCACTAGGTCCGTTGGCCGGGGTGGGTCTTGCAGTTGTTTTTAAAGAAAAGTTTAAATGTATGAGTGTCTTTTACATTGGTGACTTTTGACATTCAAAGTGGCAGTCATGTTGCTGTATTATAAATATTAATAACTTTGTAAATCTGGCATTTATGATGTCTATATTTATTTATTTATTTGTCATTTTTAGTCATCTTATGGTCTATTTGGGGGTCTATGACACCAACTTTTTACCTGACGGTATAGAGGTAGATCCCATTCCACATCCAAAATTCACTATGAAAAGAACAGGTCATGACATCATGCTTCTAAAGGTAATATATAAGATTGAACTATTTTATTATTTCAATTTCATAATTACCATCACACTGTGAAAAACGGCCTTTCATGATAGGAAATGCATTACCTTTAAAAATCAGAAAAACAGTTAAAAGAATGTTACCAATTGAAGCAAGAACTTTGCATCTTCTCTTTTAGCTCAAAACTCAAGCAACGTTGAACAAAATTGTGGGTACTATCACTTTGCCAAATTCTGAGAATGAAGGAATCGCAAAGGACTGCATGGTCATGGGTTGGGGCTGGAAGAAATACCACGACGAGTCTCCATCAAATGTGCTCCAAGAAGCAAACGTGACTCTGATAGACTCTGAAAACTGTGACCCGGCTGACACTCCGTGCACTGAGGGATCAACTGGAGCAGCACAGGTATTTCAAAACGCACCACTCACAAATTTGGCAAATCAGTGCATTTTGATCTAATAATCAATATAATCCACAGGGAGACGGTGGGGGTCCACTTGTTTGTGGAGGTTTTGCACAGGAAATTGTCATTTTCTACAAAAAAGCCAAATGCACACTACCTCACAGGGTACACTCACATCTCCCACTACCTTCTGTGAATTCAGAGCATCTTGAGGTCACCTACAACACCAGAAATGATAGATCAAGTCTCCACGTCAAGAACATTTGTTTCAACCCCAGATGTCAAAACCCAAAATCCATCAGTGTTTTGTCTGTTACCTGAAACCTGATTACACTAGATCTTGTCTAGTACCTAAAATTTGTGTTTTACTTCACTTAGTTTAGTACCCAAATCTATATTAAGCCTTCTATCAGCCAAAAGGTTCACTGAGGAAGCCAGAGAAGAGCACAAAGCAGGAGACAAAGTAAAGACAACACAGAAATGTAACAGTTTATTGAATAATCTGTTGCAATGCTCACTTTGTTCTATCACAATAAATCGCAATGGAAAATTACTCATCACATCATCCAATGACATTAAAAACCTTGAAAAGACATGTTCTTTTCTCTTTCGTGTAAAGACAAACATCCCTTAAAACCACACAATAATTAGATTAAACTGCAATGGAAAAATAAAATGACTAATCAATGAATGAATCCATGAAATGTTTAAATTAAGTCATGATTAAATGGTATAAACTATTCCCCCAAAAATTGAAAAAAATAAATAAAAATACTTGTCACCCTTCCACTCCAGCCTTAAGCATTTCATTTTCTGTGGCTTTTGTACAGTAGCTGGCCACCACTGCCACCTTGTGGTAAGTGCACTGCAAAGAAAAACAAAACCTATACCAATAAACAACGCAAAGTACTGAAAACAGGTGTAAAACAAACTTTATTTAATTGATTTGTCATTCTCACGCCTTTAAAGGGAGCACCTTTCTACCGAATCGCTGCTTTCAGCAAAATACAGCAATCAAACTTTAATCTAGTTGCAAGATTGATTTTTCATCTTCTGCAAGCGTTGACACTTTCTCTGCTTTTTATCTTTTGGGAGAGATGGGCTCATCTGCAGAGCAGGAATTTTCCATGAGCTGAAAAAGCAAAGCCAAGTAACTTGTCAGAAAAAAAAAAATGCATCTTAAAGAAACTAGCCAATTAACGCCATTCACACAGCTTAAAAAAAAAAAAAAAGTCTCTAATACCACAAGCAATCATTGTTTGAGGAAAATCAATCTTCAACAGAACACCGGACCATTACCCACATCAAACTAATAGTTATTGGTTTGAATCTACAAGCAAATGCATACCTCTCATCTTTGCCATGAAAGAGAATTAATTTCATCAAAGGTCAGCTTGCTCCTCTAGTTTTCAAATGCAACAAGTCCAGTGTCAGTCTGAAAAAATAAAAAGTTGTTTTACTACACAGAAGATAGAAACAGAACAAATCATGCATTTAAAAAAATCTTCCAAGACAACGCTACACAAACACTTCTAGACTAAACAAATGCAATAAATTTGTTTATAAACACTCAATTTTGTACCAAGGGCCAAACATTTTTAGTGAATCACTGAAGACGACGAGGTGACGCAAAGGCTACATCTCTTCAAAAATGTCAAAGCTTTTGACATGTGACTTACAACTGACCAAAAATTCTTTAAATCTAAAATGGGCGCAGATAAAAATTAGCAATCAGAACGGGGATTTAAAATCTCTCATTTCAAGGGCCACATGAGGTACTTTCCACCAAACACGAGCGCACTATAAAAAAAAAAGTAAAAAAAAAGAAAAATTTATGCAGTTTTTTTTTTTTTTTTTTTAACAGGTAACAGGAAGTGTATTTCTTAGGTTGTGGAACAGGACTGAACAGATTCTGGAGATATAATCACTGGTTGAGGCAACATTCGAAGAAAACACGGACAATGAGAACGGTTGTAGAATGCGTACAGGAGAGCAAAAGGTTTTACCTCACATTACAGGCCTATCTCCACAATTGACCTAGTCAAGAGAGCAGCTTTCATCTCAGGATTCTTGAGTCGGAAGGCACAACACTTCATTCTCCAAGGACATTGATGATTTCCGTAATTGCTAGCAGAGAACTCTTGGATCCAATGAAGCATTACACAGAACCATTGCTTGCCATATCATCTTTGTTTGTTTGCTTATCTAATACTAAGTTTTATTTGCCCAATGAAAAATATTTAAGATCCCAAATGCTAAATCCCCAGCTAGCCACTCCAAGACATTAATCTGGTTTATATTGAGCTTTTTAAATATCGAATGCAAACGAAAGAGCATTTTCCAACCATTTTTTAATGGGCTTCATGAAGCCAGATTAATACAAAAAGAAAAAAGGGATTCGGAGGTGTTGATATACAGAACAGAGCACATTTCTTTCCAAGGAGGAACAGATTCTTGACATTTAAGAGGATAAGTCCAGTCCACAGCAGAGCATACTTTAAAAAATAAATTTAGACTGCACAAAGAGTAAAGTACCCTGGGCCATCACTCCTAATGTGAGGTGGAATGACCCAATTCAGTGGTTTACTCTTTGGATAATGAATATTTACAAATCTTTAGCAATATCAAGGAGGTTTGCCGGAGTCAACTCCAATGCAACATGCCTGCCTTGCTTCACTAAAGGAATGCATCACAAAATGGAGGCGGCAAAGAGCCATAAAGAACACATCACAGCTTATCAAGCTTCTATTGGAGGATCAGATTAGAATATTTTCTTGTGGCGAAACTGCCGTTTTAAAATAGTTTAAATGCAAATGCCCACCTAAGCACTTTCAATGAGCCGATATTAAGAAATTGGTCCAAAGATCTTTGAGGAAATTGGTTTTAGAAGCTATCAGGCTGTGTTGGGACAGGTTAATTTTCACGCATGGTTTCAGAGACACAGTTTCTTAAACACATACTAAAAAAAAAAAAACAACAAAAGGGCAATTTCAAACCTCTGTGAGCATCTATAACACAATCGCAAGATAAAATGGCAGATACAGGTAGCCTCACAGAACTTGAAACTCTTACAGTAACTGAATGCTCATGGACATTAGGCAGCTCCTCAATGAGAGGAACATCCTGCGGATACTTGACACGGTAAAAAAGGAGTCTGTCTTTAATAGAACATTTGAACCAGAACACAAAACGTAAAGAAAAAATAAAAATAAAAAAAGTCTTCCAAGAGCGCATCTTTTTAAATACAGCCAGCGAAGCGATGATCTTGCAATCAGGATTTTTTTTTTTTACTCGTGTGAAGCTGAGGACAAGAAGTAGGCAAAAGTGTAAAGGCACTGGAGCATTGTGAACATCCTTTCCAAACAGTGAACTGACACCAAGACATGATTCTTTTCGAACAAGGTCTTATTGACTATTCTGATCAAGTGCACAAAACCTACTTTAGTCGCTAATTTTGTAAAATGTCTTTTTGGACTGTGGTCAGCAATTCCAAGATAAAGGCAACCAAGTAGACTGAACTCAAAAGATTGAAAATGGCAGTTTTGTCTCTCTGCTTAGGTCTAGACATTATTCTAAAGACAAAACAAGTGGACTGAGATCTACTGTTGTAATGGTGTAGAAAAATGTGTAATTCTGAACAATCAATACATACCGTAGCTGTCATAGCTGTCTCTGTAGGATCCGCCAGAACGGTCATATCCCCCCTGACTCCTAAAACCAAAAGTAATATTTGCCATATTTAAAGTGTTCACGGTTACAATAACCATAAAATTATTCCTTGTGCACAATCTCTCCTTTTGTAAAAGATCCCTCACCTATTATCCCTGTATCCACCGCCGCTGCCACCGGAGTATCCACCACTCCTGTTGGAATATCCACCACCACCACCACCACCACCGCTGTAGGATCGGTCACCTCCACCATAGCTTCTCTCTCCTCCTCCATAGCCTCTATCGCCACCACTGTAGGATCGGTCACCTCCGCCATAGCCCCTATCGCCACCAAAGCTCCTGTCACCACCGTATCCTCCACCACCTGTGGGGAGAAAAAAAAGAGAGAAAAAAAAAAGGTTACGCACAGATGAATTGACAAACCCATGCAAGATATTCAAGATGCAACAATTCAGGTGGGCCACCAGATTTGTCATAATTACAAGCCACCAAGACTACTTCAAATGCAGCCAACTACAGCCAAATGCAGAAACCAGTGTTTCCCCTAGGTTTAAGGCTTTTTGTTAATTAATATTAATATTAAAACGCTAGATCGTAAAGGACTCCTTTTTAATGGTTAAATTACATTTTATTAATCAAAAAGCATGTCAAATTAATTAAAATCATGAAACTTAATTTAACATCAATTTATTAAAAGTTTAACAAATATTACATGTTTATTAGGGCCCTATGAAATGTTTTATTTTTCCAACTTGTTTTATTGTAACCAAATTCTGTTTTACCAGGTCTAATTATTTGAAAGCATAAAACAAGTTTCATTTATTCTTACAATAGCCTTATGATTTTTTGCTCAGAAATTCTGTGTTGTGTATTTACATTGTTTTAAGGCATAAAACATTAATTTAATCTCTTTTAAATAATAAATTAAACAATTTTTTTGGGGGGGGAATAAATAGTAATACATTTCTGCCAATGCCCTCAAGTTAAACCGAACTTTAATTTTGACGGGTTGCCGTGAATACCTTTACATTTCTGTTTGTGTATGACATGAGTTTTACTCAAATGCAACGGACAAATGCTCATGAAGTGACTCAGAGCAGTTCTGAAGATGTTGTTCATGTATTTATGTCCTCAGTGAGACGGCAGACGTTAATATCACCGGAAGCGTCACAAGCGTTTCAGTACGACTAGTAAACAAAACCACGCTTCTGTGCCATTCATTAACACAGAGACACGCAGAATTCATATTTAAATATGTATCGTTTTGCGGCTTAATATTTACAAATACTAGTGGGAGTGGGCTCACTTGTGTGTGCGCGCATCGGGCGGAACTCCGCTGTGCGTGATGCAGAATGCGCGACCATAACGTAGAGATCAAAATGACATGCCATCGCATAAATAAGATAAATAACATAAGGCTATTTAGTTTGCTTAATAAAAGAACAAGGTATAGACCTGTTCTATAGGAAAGGCAACTTTAAATGACTTCTGTTGTGATCTGGCGCTATAGAGAAAATATAATTAAATAAAATTAATTTGACCTTCAAGGGGGGCGGGGGGTGCTGTTGGGGGGGCAGGCCACCCCCCTAATATAATGGCATGGGAAACACTGAACTGCATTCAACATTAACACCAACCTCTACCACCCCTGAAGAACCCCCTGCCACCTCCAGAACCGCCTCTGAAGCCACCGGACCGTCTACCAGATTTGCCAGCTTCATCAACACGAATCATGCGGCCATCAACAGACTGCAAAAAAGATGCATTTCATGGTTAAACTGATTTCAGGCCTCCACCCAGTTTGACTGATGAACTTTCTGCAGTTCACTATTAAAAATGAATGATTAATACACATCTAGGCATCAAAATGGTCCATTTTTCAGTCCTAGAAATAAATCTTAAAACATTTGGTTACAATTTTCTCCATCCTTAAATGCGTCAATCTTACCTTTCCATTCATTGCAGCCATGGCATCCTTTGCATCCTCTGGATTTTCAAATGTAACAAAGCCAAAGCCTCTGGAGCGGTCGGTCTCACGGTCCCTGATGACATCAACTAAGGCAAAAAGAACCACATAATCAAGAATAATGCTGTAAGAATTTAGACAAACCTAGTTTAAAAATTACTTAAGACAAACCTTTGGCAATTGATCCATATTTGGAGAATGCCTCCTCCAAGGACTGCTCTGTGGTATCATAGCTCAGACCACCAATGAAGAGCTTTCCCTCGTCAGACATGTCGAATCACCTGCAGGAAAATAATATTAAATTATATTAGGGGGAAAAAAATAAA